TCACATGACGTCTCTTTAACGCCTCCGTCCAGATCTGAACCTTTAGCGTGAATATTTATTTGCTATAAAAGAAATACGATTATTTTAAGATGGTTTCAGTTTTTTTAAATAAAATGAAACAATTGAAAATAATTATTTTGAATCATTAAACATTTAGTTATTGGCGTCTCCAGGTATCGCTCACGGCCCCGTGATCGCAGGTGTGATCGGTGCCACCAAACCTCAGTACGACATCTGGGGGGCAACGGTGAACATGGCGAGCAGGATGGAGAGCACAGGGGTCAGCGGCAGGATTCAGGTGAGCTCACCTGTCTGCATGACGACGCATGTTTACGTGTATATAACTGAACGCCATCCCCCCACCCCCACCCCCACCCCCCGACATCAGGTCCCAGAATCCACCAGCTGTATTCTGGTGGAGCAAGGATTCCTACGGCAACTCAGAGGGAACATTTACGTCAAAGGCATCAGCGAACGTCACGGCAAGGTGAGACACAAAATAATAAAATAACAAGAAATTAAAAATGAATACAAAACTCTTATTCACGCACAAACATACATGAATAGAAAAGAATCTGGTAAATGTGATTTTATTTCATAAATACAAGAATAAATATTTGGAAAATGTCTTTTAAACATTAAACAATAATGAGAGATGTAGTTAGTTCAAAAATAATGAGAATATAAAAATAATTACTGTGAAGGGTTAAAACATCTTTCAAAATAAAATTGCTGTGCATGATTCTGAAAATGTAGTGACATGAATCCCACTGTCAGAACAAGCTCATGCTAAGAGTTTGTGACACCTTTTCTATTTTCATCCTCAGGTTCGTACGTTTTTCGTGAGCAGTCAGGAGGAGCGGTCCAGCTTCATGGAGCGCGGCAGTGGGCGGGGCTTCAGCCTGAACAGGAACACGCTGGGAGCCGTCGTCTTCAGCCTCGTTCAGGCCCGAAAGAGAGAGAAGCTGCGGGAAGAGAACGGAGGGTTTCACCTGGTGGAGGCGTCGTAGCGCAGATGATCGGAAATCTGCTCCGCTCTGTTTAAAGGTGGGAACACGACAGGACGTCAAAGAAAAGGAAGGATGCCAGGAAAGTGAAACATGAGGATTAGAAATATTATTGAGTCGTGAAAGCAGCAGAGACGAATTAACAGAAACTAATCAAGTGGACAAATAAACATGGAGGAGGACGTGTTTGTTCACAGTCCAGGATTTAACCTGGCTACGTGTCCAAGTCTACGTGGAGTTTCAGCTCTGGTTCAATAAAAAAATGTTTCTCATAGTTACAAAGACTATAAAGTTTTTTCAAGGCTTCCTGCTGCATTGTTTTTATTTTTAACACGTTTTGCTTCTGTCCACTAGGGGGCGCTGCGTCCACAGTCAGTTTAACTTTTAACTCTGCTGACGAAAAGCAACACGTCTCATCAGCAAACTAAACAAATCGAAGACATATTTCTCGACAGTGTGAAAATGATTGAATTATTAGAATGAGAATAAAAGTAGCTGCTGAAAGATGATGTCACTCTAAACTTTATATATATGTGACGAGTCAAACGAAGATTTTCACTCTTCAACATATAGATTTATAAATATCACACGTCGGTGACGTCGAGGTTTGTGTCCTGAAAACACTGAAAGTGAATTCACCACAAACATTTAACACACACACACACACACACATAAACACACAGTAACACACAGTGTACGTGTGTGTCTGTGTGTGTTTGTGTGTGTGTGTGTCCGTTTATGTGTATGTGTGTGTGTGTGTGTGTTTATGTGTGTGTGTGTATGTGTTTATTTGTGTGTCTGTGTGTTTGTTTATGTGTGTGTGTTTATGTGTGTGTGTGTGTGTGTGTGTGTGTGTGTGTGTGTGTGTGTTGTAACCCGTGAAACATTGACCTTTAGATAATCACTCTATCTGGGGTCAAAGGTCAGATCACATGGTCCCTCCCCTCGCTGTCAATCACTGGTTAGACCCGCCTCCTCCCTCAGAATCATCAATAAACAGTTCACACATTGATCAGAGCAGAGAATTCCGGCTGATATCGCTGTACCTGAACGCAGCACCGTCTCCGCACTTCTCCATCATTAAGAAACATGAGCGACACCGGGACCGAGACCGACCCCCGCACCGGGACCGGGACCGAGACSCGCTCCTCTCCAGAGACGGGCTCCGGTCCCGGGACCCGCTCCTCTCCAGAGACSSGCTCCTCTCCAGAGACGGGCTCCGGTCCCGGGACCCGCTCCGGCTCTGACCCGCTCATCCTGTTCGTTAACGGAAAGAAGGTAAAATAACTTCGAGCCCAGTTAAAATGTGTAAAAATGTAAATTCTGTTCATGACGTAAAAAATATAATCTGAGTTTTTGTGATAGTATTGAATCACGAGTAGTGACGTCATGACAGTACATATTCAGGTTATATTGATACACGTGTCCTGTTCGTTCTGACTGTTGTCACGTGATGAAACATGAACCACTGATTCACATGTGATCAACAAATATATATTTAAACATATGAGATGTATCTCAAACAGGTTTATCTGGATCAGATCAAGTTTAAAAACTTTTCTGTTCTTGCTCTTTGTGCTGCAGATCGTTGAGAAGGATCCGGATCCTGAGACGACCCTGCTGACGTATCTGAGGAGGAAACGTAGGATCACACTTTCAAACATGTGTATATATGTGTATACATGTGTACATACACAGTGTATGTACACATGTATACACACAGTGCAGTTTGTACTTTGTTAAACTTGGGTTGCAGTGTTATCAGTAATAGTTTCCTGTTACACAACTTCATGTCTGGACTACAAAACTTCACTTCTTATTTTATTCATGTTTCCTTTTCCTTTTTTTCCTCCATTGATTCATTTCCTCTCGTTTTCAGCAACAAAGATTAACTTTGAAATAATAAAGTTCAGGTCCTCAACAATGATTCATTTTTGTTTAAATAAAAAGTGACCTGTGATCGAGGACGACTCCGACTGAAAGACAGTGTCCCTCTTTGAGAACTAAGAAGAACCCATGATTCCCTCGACCACCTCCACGGGATGATCACTGGCTGAAGGACGTCTGGTACCTTCTCAGGGAACCCAGGGGTCTCATCAAGGACCACTGGAGCCTCCTCGAGGAGCTGTGGTTCCTCATGGGACACCTGGCCCAAGTGGATGAAATATCTTCTGGGTTCCCTCAGAATCTAAATATCTGGAGTCCTGTAGGAGACGGGACGTGTCCAATGTCCAAACTGTCCAATGTGGACATTTCAATCATTCTTAACCTCCTCAAGGAACTTCCCCCTGAACACCCCTTAGGAACCTTGGTACTAAGGACCCCACCAACTTGAAGAACTCTCTCAAGCTCCCTGAGGACCCTTTCAAGACAAGTTCTACCTCATTACGGACATTATACCCCCCCCCCCCAAAAAAAACCCAAACCCGTGTGACTCCAGAACCTTTCTGTGATGTCTTCTGTCTCGTGTCCAGTCTTCTTCAGGACGTAAAGACAACACAGACTCTCATGTCGACTGATTAACAGGATCTCGTCAGTCGGTTCAGTCTTTAACTGTCTGGAGGTCAAAGTGTCTCCAGATGAACTCTGGAGATCATCATGTGTTCCTGTCAATAATTCCCAGAATTCACTGTAACCTCTGTTTGTTCCAGTGGGTTTAACAGGAACAAAGCTGGGCTGTGCTGAGGGGGGGTGTGGAGCCTGCACCGTCATGGTGTCCAGATACCAGGCTCATCAGCTGCTGTATCCTCAGTGTGTGAGTGAGTG